TACTTCAAAAATGCGTTGTTTATTCGTTCAGTATATCCACACCCAGTTGTTTTAGGTTATAAAGAATATATATTTAAGTAGATTTGATAACTGAGCTCTGTCAACTCGAAGGAAATTGTATTTGATAAAAAAAGGTGAAAGGAGAGAATATGATGATCTGTTGAGTTTCAGGTAACTGGTACGCCTGTCAACTGCAATTGCTTTTATAAAAAACAAAACAAAAAGAAAAACTTAAGAAAATGGTCCCTGCCTTTCTAATATCAGTAATTGTAAACGATATCAGAATTTAACCCGAAATTAGATTGATGTCAAAGTTTTTACAAGTAGGATAAGTAAAAAATGTTTTGCAATTACATTTATTAGGACATCGCATACTGAGCAAAATAATAAAAGAATTAAATAAAAGAGACCATTTTTGTACCCTTTGTAAATAATCATGCATAAGCATGTATTAGTATGAAAATAAAGTACATTTGAATTGACTTATAGATATATGGTCTTGTTATTTCTAACGTCGGTTGTGTGGCCTAGTTTGGGGAACCGCAGAATTAAAAAAAAACTACTATTTTGGTTACTGTAAGGTGCTGAGTATATTTTATGGGCACATTTAGGACGAAGAAATGGTTATTCTGTGATTATTTAATTTGGTGTGTATTCTTGTGTTTATGTAAAAAAAAGTGAATTTACCTACCACCCAGGGTTCCTCCGATGAACTCCCTCGAAGTTGATCACGTGCGGGTGGGTGGGTGGGATTACTTAGAGGAGTAGGTATCGCGTTAAACCTCGAGTCAGAAGATCGTGGGTTCCCACACGGGTGCTCCTGTGTCCAAGTAATACGTATGTTACAACAAACTTGGGAATAATTTTGTTCACTATATGAGGACATAATAAGGATATTACAGGGAAATATTAAATCAAGTCGTTAGCTCAGTGAGCAAGACTCGAGACCAGAAAGCAGCAAGTCCGTGTGGGGCATAGCATTTTGCAAATTTGCGAACATCATCAAATAATTATTATTGATAGTCTACATCTTTAACAGTTTCAAGAAAAACAATAAGTTACAAAACTATGAAAAAAAAAACTAAATCTACAAGTCGAAGTGCTTCGAAAAAAATCGATTCGGAAATCAAGCAAAGTTAAGAACTGTAAACCAACCATGACATTACTACCAACACGTTTCATTTTGAATATACTCAGTTTGCACAAATCATGACACAGATTAAAAGTCAATCTAAGGTTATTTGTGTCGATTTGAAAAATATCATTTGGCTGAAACAGTCCGGTCCCGCCAATAACAGTGTAATTATCATCTATTCCTATGTTTTTTTTTTTTTTAATTTTTTTTGAGAGTGTCCTTTCACATTTTTGCCAAAAAGCTATTTACATCACACAACTTCTGTGCAGATAGATTCATTTCGTATTAAAGCACGCGAAAATACATAAATATTACCGAAAAAAAAAACTAACATTGTAAATGCCTATCAGTGCCTATCAATACTGTTTTTCAGTAACTGAAAGCAAAGAAATAACAAAACAATGAACGAAGGTAAAAATAAACTAAATATGGATATAGATCTTTAACTGCGTATCTTAAATTTATTTTCGTTAAACTCAAATTAGCTTGAAATAAAATGTACAAAATGAAATAAGTTTTGACTTAGTATTTTGGTCTATACCAAATTTCTCAAGAAATTTAAAAACTTTCAAATGAATGTGAATCAGTAGTTGTAAAATGAGTAAAAGGGTCCACAATAACAAGAAATAGAAATTAACTTTTTTCATGGTCGGAATTTCACAAAAATCTAGGAAAATGGTATGATGTGAGTTAACTTTAATGACTTGTGAAAATCGGCATGTCTCCGCTCAGAAGCCGTCTCATTTTCAGCTGACCTTAGTCCAAACTCAAATGGTGTCCCGTCTGATCTGTTTAGAGAAATAACAATTGAATCAAACTTTTCATCTCTAGGGAGATTGGATGTTCCTGGGGATGGTGAGAGGTGACGATATCGGGGAAAAGCCATGAATTTCACCTGATCTCCAACTGATCTCTCACTCCTCTCGTTTTACAATACAGCTTTAAGAACCCAATAACGTTGCCAGTGGTGGACCCCACAGGGATAATCATAAATAAAACGGTAAAAAAGAAAAAGTAGGCCAAAGTAGAGATAAAAAAAGCTTACCTGTTCCACGGGGTCCAATTTCTTCTCACTGAGTCGTATTTTTCGGAGTACACTAGGGTTGTGCACTGTCTGTTAAGAAATAATAATTAAATGATCTGATTACAATATTCTATTCTTGTAGTTGGCGTAAAATCTAGACAGCACAAAAATCTAAGGCAACCCTTGAATCTAACACCGCTTGGAAAACGAATTTCGGTCCATTCTCATCATTGGTAGAATGGGCCATAATTTGTTCTCCAGGTGGCCGCAAGCCCTGTGAAACAGGGGTTTACACTGATTATTTAGCGTATCCTGTCGTCTCTAAAATGTGCTACATGATTTTTCAAATTGTTTTCTAAAGCAACTGTTGCATGCCAAGGCACTGAACTGAAGGTGGGCGTCAATTGCGGTAATTGAGATTTTAAATTGCGCTTTTTGAAACAACTGTGTTACCAATAATCTACATGTATAAGGTGCATTGTGTTTTATAAAGAAGCTCTAGTAGGGCAATAACATTCTTGGTCTTATCTCCCATCCTTCCAGAGTGGTGCTTCGGTGTAATGTGCCTAATAAATATAACCGGCTAGTATTTCACCAAATGTAGAAAAAAAAAAAAAAAACGAGAATCAAACATTTTAGGCTAAATTCACGAAAACACCCACAATAGGTGTTCAACACAGTGTTATGAACAGAGAACGGCGCCTATAATTATTTTGGCATGTCGCCGTGTTCTCTTGTGATAATTAGTAATTGCGTTTTACAAAACACTATTATATCGTCGACTTTAATCAACAGGCGACCTTTGATGGGTGTCTCACATGGCACAGAAGATGAAAAGATGAAAAGGAAAAAAATTGAAAAAGGAAATACGCAACGAAGACTATTATTGGCATAAGTGATTTCTTCAGAAAACACCACGAACGGCTGACGGGTTTGAAAATTTCACAATGTGGATCCAGATGAAATTATGTAGAATCCATGGCGCACTTTGGATTTGCACTAAGGTAGCGATTATGCATCACTATTATGAGTAAAATGAAAAAAAAAGACAAGTAGACATATTCTCTATCTCTCTCTCTCTCCACCGTAATTGTTGTTATTGTTCTCTTTTCTACTACTATTTCTTTCTCTGTTTCCCTCTCGTACTTGTTTTTTTTTTCTTTTTCTCCTTCTTACTTTCTGTCGTCTTTATTGATGTCATCGTTGATCTTCTCCTTTAGGGTATATGAACATTACATCTCTACTCTAATCTACATTGACACCACTAAATGGTAAGTAAAAAATCTCCTCACATTTGCCAAGGCCATCTACTCTCAACTCTTTTCTTCTATTTTGAAGCAGACGTCATTACAAGCTTGGGTTTCAGAGTTAATGATTTTCGATCAAGCATACTACCTACGCAGAAAAAAATATCTGCAATGTGGCTAAGCTGATGTGACAAAAACGACAGAAACAGCATTTACAAGGGTCCCCTGAGACTCCCAGTTAGAAGGTAGTGCAAACGCTGTAGCTACTCTCACGACCAAATGACCTGAAACGCCCCCGAATCTTGAAGAGATAAATGGGCGATCTTTATAGTTGTTATTTTCTCCTGTTGATATTTTTAGGTTCGTCTCAAAATGAATCGATCGAAGTGACAAGGATAAGGTTAAGTCTACTGCCTACATGTAAGGGGTTCTTAATTACATACAGCAGGGACCCTAAAATATATCCTTATGGCATCAGTAATTTCCGATCAGAAATCATTTATCAGCGGATTTTCTATCCACTGCAATATCAACTTACTGCAGTGATTTGATTTCCATTGTATATTTCACAAGGCTTATACTGGTATTCAAAAAGTTCGCAAAACATTTTATCTATAAAGTCTACGTGCGCCACCCTTTTTCCAAAACCAAGCTTCGTCAGCCAGTAATTGAATTTTGACATAATTTTTCTTTTACTAGAAGACTGACAGATTTTTTTGAAAGATAACGGTTCCAGATTACGATGTTTCTCAAGTTGTGTTTATACCAAAACTGTATACCGAAATCAACTTATATCGTAATTTTGGAAAGTTTAGAGATCGCCAGGATATTTTAAATGTTTGCAAACATCCATTCACCTTAAATCTCCGCACTGATACATCTCGCGCGAGCGAGCGCGCGTATGTACATACTACTGGTAAAAAAACTTTTAACCAGTAAGATAAATCCATGAAATGTTCAAAAAAGAAAACAATCATTTTAAAAGTCCATTGTTATTATCTTCACATGTTTTTACTCAAGTAAATCCATTGTCAATTGCAATACATAGAAAAATAAATCAAACATTAACTCATATCTGTTGCAATGTTATAAAAATGTTATACTTTGCTTGAAAGTGACAATCTTGAATATCAGATAAATAAGATTTCGGATGACGCATACAGTGGATGGTTTTGTTTGGCCCCAAGTATGTGCTTCAAATGTGACTAATCATGTTTACGCCCAAATGTATCGCAGTTTAAACAGGTTAACCCCGGCGTTCGCTAAAGTATCCTTGTAAATGTATGTGTTCCTTCTTTCGGGAGTGGTGGGGGTGGGATTGTAGGTCTTGTTCACAACTTCAAAAATGTCTTAAAATTCGACACTTGATCGGTTATTCACATCTTGCTTTTAACCCATTTCACTTTCAGACCACAAAATTTGCCAAACTTTTTTCTTTTTAACAAAAACATCCACTTTTTAAGTAACTTAACCCTTTAAGTACCAAACCTTCAGTCACCTCGGCCTAGCTGCGTGAAGTCATTACAAAAATAGCCTTTATTCAAGCAAAGTAGATAACTCCAAACCCCGACTTTCTGCAATAACTGCATCAACCTTAAAAGATTGCTTGGAAAAGTTCCGCCAATACAAATAACACGAGAATTAAGATAGAAGGGGTAACTTGAATTCCTCGACTTAACGTCTCCCACTCGGTCCAATCTCGTAAAGTCTCGTTACATACCGACGTGAACGAGGGCAGTCTCACGCCGTATCCAGGCCATGGTTCGAACCCGTTGTTAATCCGCCACCTCAGTTTCCCGTCGGTTTTTTCGAGATCAAGACATTTGTACCTCGGTCGGCAACCGTTATTCGGCATTGACAGAACGACAAAACGGTTTGGTAGATCGGGAGACTGAAAGTCTATACAAGTCATGTCGCCGTATTCTGGGACAACTATCGTCCCACTTATCACAGTGAAAACGCTGTTGGAGGCAGTTCTCCATGAGCCACTGTAGTTCGACGGGAACTCACACCGTGTAGCAATTCTGTTATAAGTGTCATTGCAGTGACCACAGGACCTCAAACAACGGTGACCATAGGGTCCGTAGCGTCCGTCACATATTGCCCAGTCACAGTCATCCTGGTTGTCCTGACAAAGGTCCGACCAACCTCGCAATTCTGGCCGCTTTAAATGAAGTTCAACTGCAGGTGCACCGACGTCAAGCCCCGAATCTTCCGGTTCCGGTGACCCAAGTGCTGGAGATGCAAAGAGCGTCGCGTTCATAATGTTTCTATTATTTGCTGGAAAACGTAACGTGTAGCGAGATATAGTTTTGTATTGTCCCTCCGCTGCAAACAGCATCAGCGTGTAATTACCATCTTGCCAAGAGGCCGTGCAACTCCCTTGCAAACTGCTTTTCCAAGTTAAACGAACTTTTGCCGGGACGCAGAACCTGTCTTTGAAATCAAAAGATAACTTCTCCCCTGGAAGGCAGCTACCGTCTAGGGCGAGGGGAGAGCACACATCGCGGGGGAAATTAGGCAACAAGTATTTCGTGTTGGTCCCAAGGGTCATTTCAAAGCCTCCAGTTAGAGGACAGTCTTCAAACTCTGTCTCATCTCGAAGGGGACGAGCGAGTGGCCATGACTCGATCCCAAGATTGTCGTCTGTGCAAAACCCTTCAGTGTTCAGCGGAAGATTTTGCAACGGAAATTTGGAAGATTTCAGTTGTATAACAGTCGTGCTACGGTTCAGAAAATGAACACAGCGGAATGTCACGGCATCGGATCCACAAGTTTCTCTCACGACGTAGGTTTGTCCGTTCACATAACTATTGGACACATCGCCAATAGCGCTTATACAACGCCGCGAACAAACAACAGAAGAACGGAGCTGAACGTCCATCTGATCAGTTGTAAAATTTGCTTGAAGTACTTTATTTCCTTGACTTGCACTTGGTATGTAATGCCCTTGCCAATTGTCTGTGAGAAGAGTCTCTGGGAAACTGCACGTGGCTCTCGCGAGATTCACGCCGTTGACAAGAACACAGAACACGGCAACCAACCTTGACATCATGGAGGCCGCTCTTCAGAAAATAAATTTCAGCTACTTAGTTCTGACGAATAGCTCCTTCTGAAAAATATAAATGTACTGTCCTAGTTACATGTACTACATATAGTCACACTGAACAAATCAACTCTATATCACCTCTGTGTAATTTTGGAATAGGTCTTGTGTTTAAACAATGATTTGTTATGTTCGTTTTTCGAACCGAAAATTGACGGTCTCGTGGTTCTCACCTGTGCTTCAAGTGCCAGAAAAATGAGGAACTGTGAACTGATTTGTCCTTTAGTCTTTTTTGAGAAATCGATATAAGGCTAAGGCACTACTGACAAGCTGTCTAGATTATCAATTGAGTTTTCTCATCTCACAAGGCGCCAATATAATCTAGAGAATAATAAGAAAAAACCCTTGTGAATTTCCGAAAGGAACGCACCCACAGTCAACAATGTGATATTAAAATCAATGAATGAAAAAAAAAAATAAATAAAAAATAGATAAAAGAAAGAAAAAGTAATTTACCCATCACTGTCAAAACGATTGCAACTATGAAAAATGTCATATTTCACAAAAACAACCATACGTGTATTTACTTGAAAAGCCACGTACAGAAACGATACAAAACTAGGGCCATCATAATATATTGTCCATGAAATGACCCAGGCAAAAGGCCCTGACGCCGAAGACTGGCTTCAAATATCCAAAATGTACAGAATGTTATATCGATCTTTTGATAGAAAATGTCGTTTGGGTACGCCTTAATGAGGTACGTGGGAGTAGGCAAGTGCACTGATGAGTAATGATAACGCACTCTTTCTGTGCCCCGCGTTTCCTGAAACGCCTGGCAACGCTGCAGCAAGCCTTTGGTCAATGGATTTTGCAAAGCCATCTAAGACCATTTTCCAGCTTCTATGCATTATTTTCAAAAACATAGGATTAAAAATCTTTTCTGTTTATGCGTCTTTTATATGTATGACTTTTCGTTTTTCTAATACATTTTTCCCTCAAATATTTTTCTGATTTTGACTGATATGAGCATTTTTTATCTTATGTCACTTGAAGAAATAACTCTGCTAGAGTTACCAGTACAGTTAAATGCCTCGGTTCAGTATATGAATATCTAATCCTGATTTTGTCTTTCAGATAAATGCACTATCTGTACGTTTATTTGTATCGAAATTCCCGGCATATTAACCAGGTCCCTTTAAAGTCCAATGGTGTATTTATATCTAAATTAAATTATATTATTATTTTTAATTTATATGAAATTTCTGATTCAGGCAGTATAACTTTATCTTTGAGCAGTTACAGCAGTTAAACACGTTTTTAACGTTAGGTTCTGTGTAATCGTCACAGCATTAGAAACGTTTAACGGCCTCAGTTCCTATACACTGAGTTCTTGAGCAGCTGCCGTACCGTGCACCGCTACTGTTTGACCCCAAGAAACTGCCATTACACCATAGGCCATCACCCACACCACACTTACCAGCTAATAACCGTATTTCAGTTTCAGGGACCAATAGTTCCAACCAAACCATCTAAAAGTAATCTAATTTGCCAGAAAATTTATTGTTTCGTGGTTTAAAAAACGTTTTTTGTTATCGGAAGTGAAGTTTTCTGTGTTATTATGTCATCCGTTTTAACGAGGGAAAGGGCGTCACGAGGGAATTTTCCTTCATAATTTCTCTATTCTAATCACGTTATAAGTATCCTGTGAACCACATATCGCCAAAAATTATTCCCTGACCTCGACCTAACTCAGAAGAACGCCGTTACAAAACTCTGAATGAGCTCGGTTTAATATGAATAAATTCAAAACTTACACAACACGTATCTTGATGTTAGAGAAAATATACAACTGCATTACCAATGATTTAAATATAAAAGAATAGAATACCACACATTTACCTTGTTGTTGGCTGCTTGATCGGGGCAAAACTAACGCGGAGCAATAAATAAGAGTTTCTCCTGTCACAGTGACGGACTGCTATAATAGATCTACCTGCTGCGTTGGTTGAGGTCATTCTCCTTTCCTTTCACAAGCCTCGCTACCGGTCTTGCGTTGAGCTACCTCCTTCCTTCTAACTGTTCGGCATTTTTTTTTTCAGAAGGCGATCTCTGCTGGGAAGATTTATAAAGCGTCTGCATAAATCATATCGTTTAGGGTTAAAGAGAACGTTCAGTGACACAGGTGCGCATTGTGTTCGACTGAAGCTCAGCTAACACATCTGGATATTAGTTGTTAACCCTAACCTCACCCTTATACATGTATATTGGGGTCAGTTTCATGAAGAAGTTTTAAAACAAATACACTAAAGACAAAATCCACTTTGACTCAAAATAAATCAGTAGTCGTGCATTTAATTGTAACAGGAAAGAAATGGTCTGGGCTTGAAGTCAATAGTTTTTTTCAGAAAGTTTTATTAGACTTGTAAATAAGTACATTATGCAATACATAATACAAATTAAACACAAAAAAAGCAAAAACACACTTAAAACCAATAGTTACTTTATTCTAGTGGAGTTCTACGGCTTTACCCTGAATTAAAGAAGACAGCAATTTGGGTCTAAAAAACAAGTCCACCTTTCAGTTTCAATTTAAGTTTTTATTTTGTGTAACCAGGCCCTTTATTTGTTTCCATATTGAGTGAATAAGATTGATAATAGTTCTGATTTCTGCTGTCTCATTATCAGAGAGGTTATTGATGACACTGAAGGAGACACTCGTATGCAAACGTGCACACACAAACATGTACACGAACGTCCACACGCGAACTCTAACACACACTAGAAATCGCACACAAACTAGTTTTTACCAAGTACCAGGTAAATGAATCTCTCTCTCTCTCTCTCTCTCTCTCTCACACACACACACACACACACACACACACACACACACACACACACTGCAATGACCAGGTGTCGCAACTAGCGAAAACAATTTCAGGAGAAAAGAAGCGATTAATTTGCATAACTA